AGAAAGTAACACAAGGTTAGAAAATCATTCTTCATGTCACACAGTTCAAAAGTCTACTTTCTAGGATTAAGGTCTCTAACTTCAATCTCCTAAACTCTCAGAAGGTAAGAATGCTTCCTTGTAAAATAATCCCACTAGGCATTATAAGAAAGCTCTCTGATACAGCACAATGGGGGCCAGAAGTTGGTACATATATTGAAAACACTGGTAAAAGCAGAGAATGATTAAATTTTTTTTTCAGTAAATTTTGTTTGAACTTAAAACACAAATACAGATTATTCACCCATCTTCTGATTTAAGACTACAACCATTCCTTAAATGTAGTTCCTCTGTTTAAGATTTTGTATCATCTTTCTAGATGAACCTACACCTTCAAAACAATATTTATAACTTCCTTTGAATTAAAATAGAATTAAGGCTAAAGGGTGCATGCATGCAAAATAATCTACATGTGAAACTGTTATATCATTATTTTGTAGTTTACTTGTGCATACTTAATTCAAAAGAATGTTTCCAAATTGTCCATACTGAGATTTTCCCAATACTTAATAATTTTCTTTGCTGTCCCAGTTACAGTTTATCACTTTACATAACATTATTTTACAAAATTATAATGAAGAGAATTGGCATTCACAGGATTGGAGGAAGTAGAAAACTAGCTCATTCTAAGCACATGATGTAACAAGTGAGGGCAGCATTGCATATGTATATGTGGTACGTGCTCAGAACTGCATGCGCACTCAGTCACCTATGGGAAGCTGTCAGTATCCTTAACAGTGAGTCTGAAAACAGCACTAAATTCAGTCAGTCTACTAAGTAGAAGTTAGGTAACGTCTAACTCCACTGAAAAATGGAAAATCCATCAATGAAAACAGATAAAAGTGGTGAGAGATCAACAGAGGTTGGAAAGCCAGAGAAAGTCCTGACAACCTTCCAGAAGACAACTATTGGCTGATTAGTTGTTTTAAGTTGACATACATCAAAGAGGCCATTTCTCAGCATTAGTGCTGGTTCCGGTAGCAGTCCTAAAGCCTTCAACCTCTACCTTGTGGTTTTGCACTCCTTTGTCAAAATAAACAATGTCAAGAATCACTAATTACCCCAGAAACTTGTTTTCTAGAAACATCACAATCACTAATCACCCAACTGAAGGGAAATTACACAACAAAAATGCACTCAGATGACCCACAGGGTGCTGAGAATGTCTACTTGACAAAGACTACTTCCTGTACCCCTTAAATCCAGAGGTCAATGGAGATCCTTCTCAACAATCTAATTAAGAAGCACTATGCTACCTAACCAACTCCCCTCTGCTCCCACCAAAAAAAAATAAGACTGTAAGACTATAAGGTATCTAGAATATCAAACAATCTGGAAAGTTTACACATTTTATTATAATGATGTGTTATTTGCTGCAAGGGTCATGAGCCTCCATAAAAGGGGATTCTGCTTCCATACTCCACTGACATAAGGCTTGGCCAAATTGTTTGGTTACTAAAATGGAAGTGAAATCACATTTTCCACTTCTAAGCGGAAGCTTTTACAGCCATATAGACCTGCCATTGCCATCTCTCTCCATCATGAGATCTGTTTGTCACACACAGGGCTGCCCCACCACCCTTGAGCCTGGAAAGTACCTGACACTGGGGACAGAGCCGCAGCTGATAATGTAGCCAACATGAGCAAGAAATAAGCTTTTATTGTTTGAAGCCATTAAACTGTTGGAGTTTTCCATAACATGCCATTTTTTAATTTGCTTAATCCCTTCAACCTTCTCACCTAGCCCCCAAGCCCCTCCCCTCTGGCTGTCAGTCTGTTCTCTGTATCCATGAGTCTGTTTCCACGTTGTTAGTTTATTTTGTAGATTAGATTGCACATATAAGTGAGATCATATGGTACTTATCTTTCTCTGACTGGTTTATTTCACTTAGCATAATACTCTCCAGATCCATCCATGCAGTCTCAAAAGGTAAGTTTCCTTCTTTTTTATGGCTGTTTTTATGGCTGACTAGAATTCCATTATGTAAATATGTCTTCTTTTTTTTTTGGTTATTCCTCATCTGAGGATATTTTCCCATTGATTTTTAGAGAGGGAGAGGGAAAGAGTAAAACATTGATGAGAGAGAGTCATATCAACTGGTTGCCTCCACATGAACCCAAGTGGGGCCGAGGATCAAACTCAAAACCCAGGTATGTGTTTTTTATTGTTTTTGTTTTTTTTTTTCTCTATTGATATTAGAGAGAGGAAGGAAGAGAGAACATCAATTGGCCACCTCCTATATGCCCCTGATTGGGGATTCTGTCCATAACATGGGCATGTGCCCTGACTGGGAATTGAACCAGTGACCTCTTAGTGCATGGGTCAATGCTCAACCACTGTGCCACACCAGCCGGGCAGTTGACCAGAATCAAATCTGAGACCCTTCAGTCCCAGGGCCGACACTCTAACCACTGAGCAAAACTAGCCAGGGCTGTCACATTTTTTTATTCACTCACCTACTGATGGTCCCTTGGACTGCTTCCAAATCTTGGCTATTATAAGTAATGCTTCATGAACACAGGGTCAAATACAATGTTTAAATGCAATTTCGCAAGTGTACATATGACCCAACTAAATTTACAAGGTACAACTTTAAATGAATGAGGATTAGTCATTACAGTAACAAATCTAGTTTTCATAGAGTTCCTCTCTCGTATTTTAATATTTCTAGAACCTACTTAGTGGATTTATACATAACAGAGTGGGCACCTAATACAAGTACCAAATTTTAACTAAGGTTCTTATAGTAGTTTTGGTATTTTTATGTAAAATTTTAACTTGAACATTCTTAATCAATACCTTTCAATCTTATAAATAACTATAAAATTAATTTAAACAAATGTCAAATGTGCCTTGGTTGATGTCTAAATTGTCTATTAACAAAAAAAACTAGTAATCAAGGCAGCTACATAAAGAAGATGGAGAAATAACCATGTTTTTGTATAAGAAAAAACATTACTATTAATCTTAATAGAAATTTAGGTGAAAAGTCTCCTATTCTCAAAATGCATTTCATACTTGTCACCAGACCAAGATAATCTGAATCAGCAGATCACATGATCTTTCTCAAACCTCTCCATGAACTTTTCAGTAACTCTCAAGAAACATAGGAGCTGAAATCATCTAATTTAGGGGACTGCATGTAGAAGTATTTTAAGTCCATAGACCTGTGCTTTCCAATAAGGGAGCCACTAGATACTGGTGGCTAGTGAGTACTTAAAATGAGATTAATGCAACTGAGAAACTACATGCTTAACTTCATAATTACTTTATTAAATTAGGTATGCACTTAGGTATGCACTTTTAATGAAAATCTTATTTAACTCTAAATACAGATCAAGAATTTTCAATGAAAAAATACCAGATTTACAAGATACAGTACAAAAGAGTAAAAATATTTCTAATAAATTTTATAGTGATTACATGTTAAAATATTTGATGCACTGGCTCAAATAAAATGTATAATTATTAAATAAAATTCATTCAACAATTCTCCTTTCACTTTTTTAACACAGTTACTAAAATTTTTGAATTACATAAATTGCTTGCATTATATTTTAATTGGGCAGTGCTTCCTTGGCCAATATGCATAAAATCAAAACTTTTTAAAAAGCAAGTTCCTTGGTGTATAAATGCAGTAAAACTCACTCTTTTCCATGTACAGTTCTATAAATGATGACAGATGTATACAGTCACGTAACCACCACCATAATCAGCGCATTAATACTTTTTTTTAAAAATGTTTTTGTTGATTTGAGAGAGAGAGGAAGGGAAAGGGAGAAAGAAACATCAAGGTGACAGAGAAACATTGATTGGTTGCCTCCCAATGCACCCTAACCGACCAGGGATTGAACCCACAACCTGGGTATGTGCCCTGACCAGGTATCGAACCAGCAACCTTTAGATGCATGGGATGATGCTCAACAGAGCCACACAGGCCAGGGCAGGACATACTACATTTCATCACCCCCAAAATTCCCTTATGCTCCTCTATATTCAATTCATGCCTCCTACTTGCAAACCGTGACAACTCTGTTTTCTGTCCCTGTAGCTTTGCTGTTTTCATTATGTCATAATATAGCATGTAGAGTTCTGAGTCCAGTACAATCAAATTTTAAATACTACGTCAGTCTATGATACTAAAGATTTTTATCATTCTGATATTTCCTTTCCTTGTATTATAAACATTTGCCAAGGCTTATTTTTCCAGTCATTCCACTTTCAAAACAGAATTTTATTCCTTTCCACTAATATAGTAATGTATTTATACTTCTAGACTAAAACTAAGCAGACTGCATTGTAACTATTTAGATACTGGTCCTTCTTTCCTAGACTGTAAGCCAGAAGCCCAACCCCTAGTACTATTATGCTTTCCATAGGGTTAACCATCTAGTGAAATTAACAGTGCAGATAATAAAATTGAGAAGTATTTCCCTTTGTGTTATACAAAAGGAGAAATAAAAATAAACTAAATAAAGAAAAACTTTACCCTCTAGATTAAATATATACTTTTATTGCAGTCTCAAAAAAAAAAAAAAAATTAGACTATACAGGATCCAAGAACTACAATGCCAGCTAACCAGGTGCAAACACAGTGGAGATTTAACTTATACCAAAATTTTCACCCAGATTGCTACTGGTTTCTTCAGAACTTGCTAATGAAGTTGAGTAAATCTGAAGTAGTCTGCCCAACACTATTTTTTTCATAAATTCTTTTATTGCTGGTACATTATTTTACAGAATATCAAGTTTTTCAGGAACACATACATTACATGATAGCAAAGCACCTGTGCCACATGAAGGTGAAGACCTAATGAATTCTCTTTCTCTATCTGAAAAGTGGGATTTTTGTAATCACTTATCTTCATATGATCAAATATATGAAATATAATAAGTCTGGGTTCCAAATAGACAAATAAAATATTAATATTCAGTAAGTATTAATATTAGTAATACTTACTGAAGTCTCCTGTAAGAAAAACTCCTTCTGCTCCGGGAGCCCATTCTTTGCAGTATAAACCACCATCAGCACATCTGTGGATCCCAAATGACTCATAACCTCTGGAAAACTTATCGATACCATCTTCATTCTCTCCGATGTCGTTCAAAGTCTGGGTAAACCGCTTATACCTTTGAAAAGTGCAAAAGAAGAAAGTTACAAAGTTAAATTATCTTCCTATTGTAATTAAGTAACTGCTTTAATCTTATTCAGAAAAAGGGAAAAAAAGATATCATTAATGAGAACTCTTGTAAATAATTTCATTTGTTGGTAGAGGTTACCTGGTAGGTAAAATCATTCTTATCTCAAATAAATATTAACAAATTCTACTAACATTTTTTTTAAATTTCAAGCACTTTGGTATAAGAGGAAATATGATAGTTTATTCCATCACATTTAAAAATAAACATAATGATTTCTATGTCAAGATAGTATAAATGAAGGACCATCCTGTACCATTCTTCTCTAACCTCTAATAAAATGAAAGAAAAATAGTCAAAAACCAGCCAGAAAGTTAAAATTACCTTACAGCAGGATTTGGCACACTTTCCCTGTTAAGGGGCAGATAGTAAATATTTTTGGCTTTCCCAGCCATATGGTGGTCTCTGTTACAACTCAGCTGTGTCTCTGAAGCATGTAAGTGACCAAAGCCAATATGTAAATGAATGGGTGTGTCTGTGTTCCAGTAACACTTTATTTACAAAACCAGGTGGCAGGGCCAAATCTGGCCAGTGGGCTGTAGCTTGCCTATCCCTGACTCTAGCAACTAAGCATGGGAAGAACACAGATCATGTCAAACTACAAAGGTTGGAGGCAGGTCCATATTTAAAACTGGTAAAAAAAATAAATAAATAAAATAAATAAAAAACTACTGCTGTTTTTGCTAATACCATCCCCCAGCCCCCAAATCTGAGAAAAGGCAAACTAGGACAAAACTTGTAAAGCTATGGAACTATGTGTCAGGTGCTCTCAGAAGTGAGATTCCAGAAGTACACAATGAGTTGAGCAATGCCAAGGAGCTTCTCCCTGCACTTCCCCATACCCCTGATGGGTGAGCATTGAAAGTCCCAGAAAGAAGGAATATATAAAACTTGAGAAGCTTACTAATAAAGAACACCTCAAATGAGATAGTCAGTCAAAGAACCTATCCACAGATCTTTCGCATTATACTTCAACTTATTTAAAATGAATTAGCCCTGGCCAGTTTGACTCAGCGGTTAGAGCGTCAACCTGCGGTCCAAAGAGACCCAGGTTTGGTTCCTGCTAAGGGCACATGCCTTAGTTGCGGTTTGTCTCTGGCCCTGGTTGGTCGTGCGGGTGACAGCCACTCGATGTGTCCCTTTCACATCGATGTTTCTCTCTCTCTCTTCCTCTCTCTGAACAAAAAATGGAAAAATGTCCCCGGGTGAGGATAAAAAAAAAAAAAAAGAGAGAGAATTTAATAAAAAAAAAAAGAGTTGACAGAGAATATGACAAAACAACAGAATGAGACGTAAAATTGGACTACAGACCTAAGGAAACAAAAGAAGGAACAAAATTTATCATTGGGAAATAATAAATGAATTTGAATGGACAAAGAACAATATGCACATATACCAAAAACAGCAAGTTATTAGTTAACTGAATGAATTAAAATTTGATATAATTAAAATAAGAAAAGATAAAGAATTGAATATATTAAAGGAAATCTAACAGAAATGCAATAATTGACAAAAATATATCCAAATAAGGATAGCTGGTGAATCTTAAGAATAAAAGGAAATAAAATGGATATAGAAGATATAAAACTGAAAAAAAATGTCCTTAAGTAAATAATTAAATGTGCATATTAAAAAGAGAACACCGCCCTGGCTGGTTTGGCTCAGCGGATAGAGGGTCGGCCTATGGACCAGAGAGACCCAGGTTCGGTTCCTGCTAAGGGCACGTTCCTCGGTTTTGGTTCATCCCTGGCCCCGGTTGGGGTCATATAGGTGAGGGCCAGTCGATGTGTCTCTCTCACACTGATGTTTCTCTCTCTCTCTCTCTTCACTCCTCTCTCTCTCCCACTCTATCTAAAGATAAATGCAAAAATGTCCTCAGGTGAGGATAAAAAGTAAATAAAATAAAATAAAATAAAAAGAGATCACTATGTTATAAAAAATTTTGGAAAACACACACACAAGCATACAAGTGCAATACCTCCAAGTTCAAGCTAATAAAATGCAAAGAATAAAAGAATAATTCCATAGACAACTAGGTACAAGAGGGGATAGGGCATATTGTTTGCAAAGGAATATTACATTAAATACCAAAAACCCACACAATTCTGGTAAGTAAAAGTAGTAATCTGCAGATATTATATGCGACAAAGTCCTACTCAAACCTAAGGAATTATATCAATATTGTCAAATTTAAAATAATTTTAAGTCTATGGTAATTAAAAAACTAAAAATATACACAGAGAAATGAACAGTCATTACAGCAGTGTGACTGAGCCCTGAATTTTTAAATATTGAACCATAGCTATATTCACAACTGTGTAAATGTGATTTAAAAACAAAACAAAAAACTCAGTGAACAAAGTAAAAATGTTATTAGGAAAAAAAAACAGATGAGTAAAGGAAGATGGGATACAGAACAAGAGTAGTGAGATACTTATTTTGTAAGAGTTACTGAACACTGACTAAAACTTAAGGTTGGCATCATTATACTTTTTAATCTATTAATTTTAGACGGACATTTTAGGAAATAACATTTCTGAATGTAAAAAAGTTGTATGTGAATTTCAGCAGTTTCTTTCATTTTCTTGCTGTGACTTGGTTTGTCTTGTCATGTAGTGCAGCAGGATTCCAGAGCATCCACCCAGGACTCCCTTGTAGAGCTGGGCAGGAGCCAGGCACCAGCAGGGGACATTGTGCCTGACTGGTTTCTAGCTTTGCATCCGGTGAACTTGGGTAAATTTTTCTTGGAATTCCAGACCTTCCTGTTTTAAGGTAAGAATTCATAACTTTCTTTGAACTGTTTTTTATAAAATCCTCAGTCAAGGTGGAGCAAAAGGTTAAGGGTTGAAATAACTCAGGACAAGAGAAAAAAATAATGGGTGACTTTTTTTTTTTTTAACTTTGGCTTTCTCATTGGAATTGCTTTCTGAGAGTATGAACAAAACCCTTTATTGGGTAAATGAGAGCCTGAACACATTCGGCTCTGAAAAGGAGCATTTCCTCCCTCCAGCTTGAATTTCAATATTGTTAGATGACTAAAAATCTTTGTGGAGGTTTCCAAGGGTATCCTTCACAATGTAGAGGGGCCTCCTAGGGAATTCCAACACAAGTGTAATTAAATAATTGATTCATCTTGGGACACACACATATAGGTAGGTTACCTAGTGTTCCCAATCCTCATGGTTGTATTACACAATTGGGGAGAAAAACCAAGACAAGCAAGAGGGTTGAGATGACTCGGGAGGTGACAGCCCCCTGGAGCTCAACTCATATGGAGCACACTTCAACCCACTACACAATATCTCTAGAAATTTGTTCAAATTATACAGATCCTAAAATAAAATTGTTAGCTCTAACTTCCATATTACTGCCCCAAGCCTCTTAAATCTTTTACTTTTATATTGATGCCCCAAGCCTCTTATCATGTAATCTTGCCCTAAGCCTCTCATTCCAGGAAACCAAAACCCATCACTCCAGTCAGGCAGAACGGAATGAAGAACTACCCTAACCCAACCAAAACTGCAAACGGTTGCTCAACAAGAAAAACAAGTTTCCGGAGACCCCAGCCTTGACCAATCAAGAACTTGGGAGACCCCAGGCCCGACCAATCAAAGACGACCACAACTCCTCGGCTAAACGACCACCCACTCCAGCCCTAAGTTTAAAAATCCTCAGCCTGGTGTTTCAGGTTTCTTAGGGTATATCCCAAGAAGTGGGATCACTGGGTCAAATGTCCATCAGTAGACAAATGGATAAAAAAAGCTGTGGTACATATACATAATGGAGTACTATGCAGCTGTAAGAAAGAAAGATCTCTTATCCTTTTTGACAACATGGAGGGACCTGGAAAGTATCATCCTAAGCAAAACAAGCCAAACAGAGAAAGACAAGTATCATATGATCTCACTTATTTGTGGAATATAATGAACATAACAGTCTGAGCAATGGGGTAGTCCCAGAGACGTGGAAGTCGGGTACAGACTGACAATCCCCAGAAGAGGGAGTGGTGGGGGAGAGATAAATCACAGAACTTATATGCATGTATGCATGAACAATGGACATGGACAACAAAGCTGGGGACAGGGTGGGGAGGGTGGGGGAGGGGGAATCAGTGAGGGGAAAAGGAGAAACATCTGTAAAAAATTAATTAATTAAAAATAAATAAATAAAAATAAAAAATAATTAGCAAAAAGATGTAAAAAAAAAAAAAAATCCTTAGTCTGGACAAGCCGGTTGCTATTTTCTCCTTAGAGGCAGCCCAGCAGGTCTTTCCCTCAACAAAATGCACTCTTCCGGTTACTCAGCACCGCCTTGTTCTGACAAAAATTAAAATTAATATGAGAGCCTTGGCCAGTTCAGCTCAGGGGTTGGAGTGTCGGCCTGCGGACCACAGAGTCCTGGGATTGGTTCCCGCCAGGGGCACGTACCAAAATAAATAAATAAATATGAGAAATGGATCCTCCAAGTCTGGAATCTGCCAGACCCCAGGCCCCATTAACACTCCTGCAGATATACACTTAATAGAAAATCTTTACTTGCAAGTACTTACAGAAATGGCAAGACTTTACTAGAAGTGATATCAATTTAAGATGGCCAAAGTGGAGCTCTTTCAACATCTACATTAACTTTTGCATTCAGAATTAGAAAGAGCTTGATCTAAACTTAAACTGAATTAATAGGAAGCTTATCCTGATTGAAAAAGAGATGCTTCTAGAAGGAGTACAGATGAATTCTCTTTTCTACAAGAAGTTAGTAAGAACTTCTGGAGCCTATCTCTGAACTAAGGAAGGCTTCTGAAGCTGCCTAGTGCCATCACCTCACTTTTCCCTCCTCTCCAAATGCGCTTCTATATGCTTTACTTCAATGTCCAGACTCTTTCTCTTCTCCTTCCACTTTTCCTTCTCTTCTCACCTCCTCAAATGCAGCTCCCT